AAACTATGTTTGTATGTTTGAATGAGTGAATGCGAACCATCATCTCAACGTATATTTTTTCTGTGTGCCCCATGGGCCAAGATAGGGTCTTCGCCCTTCGTGTTCCGTGCGATGGGTTTTCGAATCCCGCAAGGATAGTCCCCGCAGGATGCTGGATTTTGTCCATCCACAGCGTGGCTATGGGTCTTAATACGACACCCCGCAAAAGTGGTTGGCCATAAATCTCCCCAGATGTCCACAGGGTCCCCCTAAAATTCACGCCCGCGTGGATGTTTCTGCTTTCCGGGTACACTTTTCACTTGTTTTTTGTTTTTTCGGAAACCGGACCTATTTTGACATATAGAAAGACCAAGTAGGATACCAGCTGAGTGCCAGAGTGCAACTCAGGCCGGAAGAGGTGCAGAGTACAGACGAGAGCCTTTGCGAGGAGGACACCTTTGCCTTGCACATTGGTGGGTACCCACAGTTGGTGGATGTGGGTGCGTCGTTAGGATTCGGACCCCTCCAATCGATTTTCGGCTTTCCTTTAGGTGTCCCCTGAAAACCCGCAAAAAGGGGGGGACCCGGGGACCCTCGAAAACAGACACACCTTTGTTTCGGGAATTGAACCGGGTGCTTGTTGAGGATACTTAGATGGGAACCGACTTTCCAATTGGCTCGGAGCCACCTTTGGCCAGTTTAGAAGGAAGGAAATGGTGCCACTATCCTGTTGCGGCTGATCACTTGCTGAGAGGCAAGTGCAAGACAGGCAAACATGTAATGCACAAAGAGCAACACACATTTGTACCTGTGGACAATCGACTGTCTGAACATGATTTGCCCTGTGATCTCAAAGCGTGTGCAAGCTGAAGAATGGTCGAATGACGAAGCATGGTCACAACTCTTTGCAGCCAACAACTGCAGTTGTTCTGAGGCAAATCGCCAAACTTGTTAAGTGCTGTCCGTCAATAAGGATGCATGTCACAAACCAACCCCCCCCTCCCGCCCCCCCCGCCCCCGCCCCGAAACAAGCACAATTAAGCCAGGATTCGTGCATGGGGGTGCACAAGTCCTGACGTAGCTTTGGCCAATGACATGCGCGGATGTCAAAATAGGGTAACCACCAAAATGGTGGGCTTCCTTTTGGTTTCCCTTTGAAACCAACCCAAAGAGCGTACCCCCAAAGCAAAGCATGCCTAGGTGTTTCTGTGTGTTGCGGGACAATGACGTGCGTGCGAATTGTTTGCCTGTCTTCCAAGCCGCGGCCCTTTTTCGATCAATGGACCACTATCCAGCCGCTGCCTCAAGAAGACAGCATATGGATCGGTTGCCTTTAATTCAGCATGGGTTGACAAACACGAGACACACGCACACGTGCGCACAAACTTGAACGTTTCAGCAGAGACAGGCGTGAAGGTTTGCCTGCGAGTACGCATGAAAGCGACTGGATAGATACTGCACAGCAAATGCAAGAAGGGCTCCAATACATCAGCAACAACCCGTCGCAATATCATGCTGTTGATTTGTCAACTTCACATCAACATGAGCGACTCCACCGAGTAAGGGGCACTTTGTTTGGAGTGGGCATCACCAATGTGTCAGCGGCCGATGAGGATTTGGCCAGTTCCACCGGTTCCAATCGCCACCTTTGTGACACTTGCAATCGCATGTCGTTTGTTTCTCAGATGGGCGATGGGGCTGGTTGATTGGTGGCCAAGTTGCAAAACTCACCTGAAGGCCCTTATGGATTTGCAAATATGTCCCCAACCCAGGGCTGTCGGCCTTTTTAGGCGCAGCATTCCCACGATGTATGCGATTATGGAAACCATGGACACCCCCGGAAGGCCCCTTCGTTTTCGTGTAGGACGTCTTCGCACGTCCAGAACTCTGTCCTGCAAAGTGCCCCTACGCGGCGGAGATGAGGGATGAGCGCCTCGGAGTATGGCATCAGACATATGGGTGTGTCTTTTTGAGGATGCGCCTTTTTGGTTAGTTTTAAAGGGAAATCAATATGTGCCATTGTGAAAAGACCCCTTTGCTAGTGGATGCTAGTGGTTGACAGGATGGTCCACCTAGCCAGGGTTTAGTGGGCGGCGATCGGTGCCCGCTTGCAAAGGGCGCTCTATTGGTGCGCCGCCTGGTTCTTGCGTGCCGGCTTCTTCTTCGTGCAGTTTTGCTCTCTTGGGTCTGCAAACGGTCTCAGCATTGTAGCGCAATGCCTGCACGGACCTACGCGCAGCATTCCGTAGAACGCAGGTCTGCACTTGGGCTTTGGGGTCCTGATGAGGGCAGCGCTGCTTGCCACAGACTTGTACAGTCGCTGAGGCCACTAGTGGATGGGTTGGATTGTTTTGCAACATGATCCAATACTGTTTGAACAGTCACATGTTTCGTCTCCAATTCTTTTTAGAAACAGATGCCCTGATTTGATGGTGATGGTAGGCTGGCACGAGTGATGTCACCGTTCCTCATGGAATATATAAAACAGCTCAGCCAGACCAAACCGTAGCTTGTTATCCGGTGTGTGTGTGTGTGGTAGGACTGGTTTAATATTGCGCCAATCCGTGTTGAACTGGGTTGCCGTTTGCTGCAGAAAACCAACTGGAAAGGATCCCGTGCATGAGGCAGGAAGCTACCGACCTGTTGCAATCTGTCCATGACGGGCGGGCAAGCTGCGCGCACTGCCACTCGTGGGGGACGGAAACCGTTGCATCCGGCCTCCAACAGATCCTCTGAAAGGGGAACCTGATCCCCATGCGTGTATGTGTGTGTGTGTATACATGTCTGTGCGTGTTTGTGTGTTTTGCGTGCCTTTGCGTGTGTTTTGCCTATGTTTGTGTTTGTTGGTTTGTTGTGTGTTCTTTGTGCGATTTTGTGCGTGTTTTGCGCTTCGAACAGTTCAACCGTTCAGGCATCCCCTAGTTGGGGGTTTCGGTCAGTGGCTTGGATTTGGATTTGAACCCCTGGTTCTCGTAGAGGGTAAATGGGAACTACCCTTCACCAAACCACCAATGGGAGGGAAACACCCATCTTGACATGCACCAAGAGCCACCAAGAGGAGTCCCTGAGGCGAAGCGACTGAGGTTTCCTGTGAAGTTACGCAACCACTGCTCCATCCAAGAGGCTTACCAAGCTCACATCGCGGCCCATGTATGGCGCAAACATATCCTGTTGAGACTCGTGCACATGCATATGCGAACATGCATATGTTATATATATATATATATATACATACGCACATATATTTTGGGAAGCTGGCTCTGACGTATGCTTCGTTTCAGCATAGCAGTGGTCACTGGCCACGGTGAGAGGTTCTGCCACTTCCGCTGCGTGAAGAAGGACGAATGTGGGCTCCTGGGCACCGTGGAGAACGCGACCATCCCGGATGAAGAGCACCGGGGCAGAGAAACGCGACCACACCTCGCAGAAGGGCTCAGTTGTTCAGTGGCACCATTTTTTCCCCTTTTTCTTGGGTGGCTGCCCCACTAAAAATGGTCCAAGCCCCCAAAAAGGGTTCCCTTTTTTTCCAGGGTCACTGAACAACTGAGAGGGCACAAGGGATGTAAACCGTGCAGCTCAGTTGCCCAAGAGAGAGCCGACCTTTTGACCTTTTGGTTGCCCCAATTTGCTCCTAGTCGTGACGCAAAAAAGGGTTAATCCCCTTATTTCTGGCCAGAGGGTTCGGGGTAGACGAAGCAGAACTTGCTGCCACGAGTTGACTCACATCGCGCTTTCTCAGGAAGCTCAAACAAGGCGAGGCGAGGGTAGGATTCGGGTGGTCTGGCGCTAATTACATGTTGAACTCAAGTCTCAAGTTCCGTCATAATCGAGCACATCCGTGATTCATCTTCGCGAGGACGGCCTCACCATGTTGGGTCGTTGGGTCAGCCAGACCTTTTCGAACCCGCCTTCCAGCTACTTCCTCCATTCAGCCCGGTTCAAGAGACCTGACACGAGCGATTCCTCAAACACGGATAGACCACCTCGTACCGACTCGTGCAGATTTGTGTCCATCAAAAGTTGAATCTGATCATTGCCGACTTGGCTCATAACCCCTTTTAGCCTTTGCCTGGTGCCAGTGACCCGCTTCGTCGGGCCTAGTCGGGTGGAATGTCGCCAGTGACAGCTGCAAATCAAATTAATTTGTGCATAGAGGACAGAGTCGACTGGGCTGAGTGAACATTCTCACTCTCATTTTTCAAGAAAAAGGGTCCAAAGCTTGAAGTTACACGTTGTTGGGATTCCCCTTTGAGACGGTGCTCCAAAGGTGCCACGGACAAGTGGCAAAGTGGCTCGGAAATTAGTCTTTCGGCAGCTCGCGAGCCCCCCAGCCCACCCCACAGCGATGCTTCCCTTTGGTTATGCAAAATCGAGCTGAGCGGGCTGGAGAGAGAGAGAGGGGCGCGCACACGCGCACACAACACATATTCAGCACAACACACAACACACAACTCACACAACACGCAACACACACAACACACAACACGCACACACACACACACCCAATTGGGTGGTTGTTTAAAGAGAGGCTCAATAGAGAACACCCACACACACACACACTTTTTGGGAGGGTTTCCCATTCAACAAACACATGGTTCCTTTCTACTGTATGCTGGTTTTCCTATGTTGTCCTTTTGGTTTTGATCAACACGGTGAAAAGGGCCCGCGCCTCAAAGCACACGCCACACACACACATCTATATATCCGAATATATGATTTGGGTTAGCTTTTGGCTTTGATTGAAACGTATTTAAACCGATCGTCATTACTTGCCTTGAGCAACCCGGTTGGTTACTAGGGTTTAGCGGAGTCCATACTTGTGGAGGGCCCCCCGAGCAGGAGGGGTTCTGCTTCGATCCGGGGTCAGCATGATTCTCCGAAAATTCAATCAAGGTTTGGATGTGACTTTTGTGGAACCATCCCTGCAGGACATTAAACGAGTACCGAAAGAGCAGGTCCACCACATCCAAACCAAAACCGTTTTCTCGCAAGCGGCCCGCGGCACCGCGGCGCCCAGTCTGATGGTGTGCCGGCACTGCAACGTGGAGGGCTGCCTGCACTGCGTCTCCGCGAAGCCGGGCCAGGAAGGCGAGAAGTTGGAGCACTGCAAGCAGTGCCGCGCGACGGATCAGGGGGCGAGCTCAAAGGGATGGGGTGGGGTGGGCTGTGCTGGGGGGTGGGGTGGGGTGAACACAATCCAACAAGTTGCGTGACTCTGTTTTTGGGGGGTTCTCCCCCGGCTTTCGTGGGTTTTAAAGGGGCATCGAAAGGAAACCCGAAGCTTGTTTGGAGGGTCCTCAACAAAAGACAACCCCATTTGTTTGGGGGAAGAGGGGTCTCATTTGTTTTTGTTTTCGTGTTTTTCCCGGAGTTGGGCGGGGGGCAAGATTTTGAAATGTTGTGTTGTTGTTTCTTGGGGGGATTCTGTTTTTTGAGGGTCGGAGGGGAGGGGGCTATTTCTTTCTTGCGGGCGGCATTGGTTCAACACAAGCTCGGGGATTACCCACAACGAAAGTCCTTTGGAGGATTCCGTACTTCGGTTTGTAAATGCAAAAAGGCTTGTGCAGAAAGAGATGTCCGTCGCCAAGGCCAGAGTAAGTGTTCAAAGTTGGTTTCATCAAGGCCAATACAGAAGCTGAAGAGCGAGTAATACAAGGGAGTACATCACTATGTGTATTACTCGTTTACTCATATAAGTTTGACCTAAAATTGATGTTACAGTACCCAAAAACATCATTCTAGTTGTTTCGCCCCTTGTCAATTGAAATGCGGTGCTCTTCTTCGCATGTTTCACAGTTATGGCCCTTGCAAGAGTTTTCCGTTTCGGGCCAATTGCAATGGGCTTAGAAGGAACGCGTTCTAAATGACGCCTGCCCAAGACAGAACCTCCATTTGACCATTTATTTTCATGAGGAACCCCTTCGAACGCTTTTGGCCTGAATGTGTCCCTTTCTCAAGCTCGCGCAAGGCCGACCTTTTGACCTACCAACAGTACATGTGTCCCCAAAAGGTGATCACCTTTTTCTCTTGGGTCCTTTTTGGACAACTGAGTTTTTTGCTGGTCGACGTTCACCACTAAGCCTTGGATTCGAATCATTTCACCATCATCATTTTGGTCAAAGGGCAAAGACGTCAGATTGTACCCAACGTTGATCCCGTATTGAGCAACATGCTAGCGGTGCATGTGGCATTCTCAAGATCAAAAGGGGCTGTAAGTTGCAAGGGCAACTCAACAACCAGGAAAAGCATGGGATGCTACAACACGCAAAGCTGCGCAATTGCCTCGTTGCAACCCAATGAGATATTCACCAGCAAGACCTCAATTGAGTTCTGCGGAAACACACACACAAAGCATGTAGCATTAATTGGCACAGCCACGAGTCAGTGAAGCTCATCTAACCCAAGTCCCAACACGGCTGAGTCTCTAATGAGTCCCAGATCCACATCGTAGTGCAGTCTTTGTGGAAGTGCTTGAGTACGAGTGGTTGTTTGGAACCACACTGGCGGTCTTCAGACCGTTTTTCTTTGATCTTCACTGCTCTGGGCAGAGTGATTTTGGGTCTGTTCATTTTCAACGAGGGAATGCAGAGAACAAAGTAAGCTATTTGCTTCGAGGGCCTGCGATTTAGGGGCACCACACATTTTCGTGTCCCCAATTTTGAGCCCAGCCCATTTGCAGGTGTTCGTGTCTTGACTTAACCCACCCATGGCGTTTTCTATACCCCGAGGCATGCCGGGGTATTCGCTGACGGAGGAGGGGGAGTGCGAGATGCGCGGCCTGGGCTTCTTCATCGCGGTGGGCGTGGTGGTGGTGGTGGCCACCGTGCTGTGGCGGTGAATCCCATTTTGCAGGGCTCCTTAAAAGATACATTTTGCAACCAGTTGAAACATGGCTTTTTCCACCAAAATAAAAGGAAACCGCCATTTACAAGGCAATGTTCAGGTGCATAATGTAAGGATCCGTGTTTTGGGCATTCACCACCCATTTTAGGCTTCCTATTTTAGTGGTTGGATAATGGTCTTGACCATGGCCAAATCTGTGGCTCGGGCTCGTCGATTTGTTTTTTTGGGAGGCACCCCCTCTTTTGTGGGAAGGCACAAGGTATACAACCTATTTTAGGGGGTCCCGTAAAAAAGACACCCAAATGGCTCAAGGGGGGGGGGGACCGACATGACTTTTTGCTGTGATTTTTTTCGAGGTGTTCCCAGCGGGGTTCACGGGAAAAAGTGTGAAATGCTTAGTTGGGGGCTGGGCGAAGATGGGAAATGTGCGCTTTTCAGTGTGTTGTGCCAAATGCGATGCGTCACATATGTTGGCACGAACATGCACACCCAGGGCGAAATGCTTGCGGAATATAGGGGTGACATAGTACACTTGCAACGAAAGCCAATGCTTTTGGTAGCCTTGGAGAGCCCCCAAATATGTAGTGGCTGTTGTACCCCCGCAAACATATTCATCATGCATCTCCGCAATGCACAGTCTCGGGCGGGATGTGCCCCCCCAGTTGCGGGGGCACTCTCTGAAAGGACCAAAGGCCTGAAAGGAAAGGCTGACGTCTCACCACAAGCAACCACGCAAGCAAGTGTTAGGGTTGTCTCAGCCGATGTTTCACTCGGTCAGAGCAGGACTGCAAAAAGCCTCACTGGGCCTCACGTGGGTGCCCGTGGCAGGCTCATTGTTGACTCCAAAGCACGCTTCGCATGTCACCAGCCATCAAGGCATTGCCGTCGGTCCTTCTAGAGCGTTGTTTTTTGGGAACAAACGCCGCCGCAGAAAGAAACATACATGTTGTTTTTGTTGTTGTTTTTTTTCTCTCTCTCTCTTTTTTCTGAGGAGCTTTCTCCTTTTCGGGCAAGGTTCCTTAAGAACCTATTGGCAGGGGCAATGAATCGCAAGCAGGAAGATTGGTGGTGGGTCCCGGGGGGAGGGATTCTCAGGCGCGTACCAAACTTATGACATGCTGGGTGACCTCCAAACCTCTAGTACCTTTGGTCTTAGACCTCCACTCATGCGGGAGGTTTCCAAGCTTGAGGGAGTATTCATGTGTTTGGAAGCTGTCAAAGCTGAGCGGCCCTGTAATCAAACCCCGTCAAAATCAACCAAGGAGAGGGAGCCCTTGAAACATGAGAAATCTGAAGCTTCGGTCTGGTTCTGTTCATCGGGCTTCAAAAGGACAGGTACAGGCGGGGAGGACGAGCCTCAACTTGTACAGTACCCCCCCCTCATTTTGGTTAAGTCCGCTCTACTTTCCCACACAAAGGGGATTGTGCCGATTGCGCCATGTATTTTCACCCAGGTCGAGTTTTGAGCTTCCTTCCTAGCTGTAGAGTTCTCCGGCGTTCCCACACATGAGAGTCTATGATCCATGTGGGGACAACATGGGGCAGACTCACAAACTATTTCACAGAAACCAGGTGGACGTACTAATGTTCACTTGTCCTTTTGGAGGGAGCAGCAAGTTTCGACCATGTGTGTAAAAGCATTTGAGGGTGCACTTTTAACTTTGATGCACCATGGTTTAAAGATAAGCCAAAAGGAAAGCCAAAATCTAGTGTGGGATTTCCACGACACAGTGCATTCCCATATTTCACCTTCCGGCGGCGATTTTATGCATTTGGGCCGTATACGTCTAGGGATTTGCCGTCGGGCTGATGTTGACTAGAGATCAAAGGAAACTCTGTTCCACCACGGTGCAGTTGCCAGTCAGATGTGCCTAAGGGCTGATGTTAAGGGCCCAACTATGTTCTAGGCAAGGTACTGTTGACTTGGGTTACTCCAGAGGACGGGTTCCCCTTTTAGTAAGGACATGGCCGATTTGAAGGGCATTGGCCCCACCACCAACTCCCGGGGTCTGTGCACTTGCACGTTAGTCGGAGGGTATTACTTGACCACTTTGTTCCTTTTTTAGCGCAGAAAGGTGGAACTTGGATCCTTTGGCCCCGAGATCTATCTCATTCGCCCAACATTTCCTCCAAAGACCCAAGAGTAGAAGTACATGATCTCTGAAGAAGGGAAACCACAGGAAACTCAATACAGATGCTACCCCCCTCGTTAAAGCTATAGAGATGATAGTAGGATTTAGTAGTTACTCTGTGCTTCATAGCTTCATGGCTTCTTAGCTTCTTAGCTTCATTGTTGCTTTTGCCTCTAGGTGTTACATGGTGTACACCGAGTTCCCACATGTTTGACCTTTTGACCCTCTAAACCTTAGTTTCCCTTCTCTTTGGTCCATTTTTAGTCATGGCCCCAAAAGGAGATCAGCTTGGGTCCAATGAGGGCAACTGGGAGCTCGGCCCAGGTGCTCGTCATTATTTGGTATGCCATTGTGGTCTCCAAGCCTTGCGTGAACCCGGAAGGCTCGCACGTGTTGACGTGGGGGGGGGGGGTTCAAGGTCTGATGTAGGCAAAACTAGCCCTCCGGATGTGGTTGGTTTCGATATATCATATCATATCATGCGCAAAGACTGGCTCCGGGCAAAAAGAGAGACAGAGAGAAAGAGGACGAAAGAGAGAGCGAGAGAGAGAGATTCATCGGTCGAAGCAACCCGAAAGTCACCATTGAATATGATTCAATGCTTCTGCGTTGTTACCGCTTGTGCCATCACGAGATGATGGCTTTGTCCGACGCTGGCCGCGTCACAGGGGGAACCCAATGTTTGTTCAATGTACCTCGTGGACAAGGGGAACCATGTAAGACCAAGCTTAGGCGACCCTGGTTGACACCCATTCCATCATTGTATCCATCAAGGGAGCCCCTGGTTTTCCAGTTGGCAGGAGTCCTGGTTGGCCATAGCCACTAAAGAAAGCCGTCTATAAAGGTAGGATAACGGGAACCATGACAACCTGAGAGTGATTGCAGTTTCCACTCTAAATCAACCCCATGCAGATCCGCGAAACCTACTGTGGATGGATGAAATCCTGCACCACCTAAAAAACCCTTGGATAATGATCGCCCTGTAAATACCAACAAACACTGGTTTCCAAAGTGGTTTCATTTCGTGGTGCGAACTGGATTTCGCAACCATCCACAGTATTACATATGAAGTTGTAAAATTTGGGGATTACATCCTAAGCCTCCACTCTGCCCCAGATCCGCGAAACCTACCACCCCTTTTGCAGAACAACAAAAACAAAAAGGCTCAAGCGCCGCCGCCGGCCGGAGGTGTGGAGTACGGGCTCCAGTGTCGGGAGCGAATGCGCCTGTCTGTGCCGGGCTCCAGTGAGGCCTATCCACTGACCACGCCGCCCGGAGAGCATCATTTTGAGAGCCATACGACCTGCGGGTTTGGGGCATTAGGGCGGGCACGACCTCCAGTCGGATTGGGGCAGGCTTAGGGTGGGCTGCTTTGTTGAGTTTTTTGGTTGGCTCAGTTTCAGGGTTGGCTCAGTGGGCTTGGGGGGTGTTGCCTTCAAGATCAAAATGGGTGCCGTTTCTATGGCCGCGGAGGGCTACTGTGAGAGTCTGAGAATGTGGTGAAGCCAATTTGCATGCTAAGAAATATATATATGTATACATACACGTGCACGTGGGTTTGTGTCAATAGAGTAGTTGGTTTTCTTTTGGTTTCCCTGTAAACAATTCGCAAGGGGGTTCCTTCCAACACAACCGCATATCTTTCGAACATAACATGTCAGCCGACAGGAGAAGGCTTGGGGCAAGGTCAGCTTCAGAATCTTGACGCAGCTTCGCCAGGGTTCTCTCAAGTCGTTTGAAGTCTTGAACGTCACAAAGCGCTTTTTATTGGCGGCTGTCCGAACTGGGGCCTGAATCTTCGATCATTTTCTGGGCTCTGAACGAGAATGGATGGGCAACCAACCAACGCCCAGCGCCCAAGCCCCAACAACCACAGCTTGCGTCGGCTTGCGTGCTGCCTCTGCTTTCTCCAGCACCCTCGTGTGAGCCACACGTACATTAGCAGGTCATAGCCTCTATGCCTCAAGCCCCCAAAAGAGCCACAACCCAACGGAATGAGAAAACCGCGCCACAAGAAGCCCGTGACCCTGAGCCAATGCTGGCATTCCTCATTGAAACCACACCAGGCCTCGTGAAGCGAGTCATGCCGAATGCCACCAGGGAGCCCAACCGAGTTCCAGGGGTTGAATGCGAGTGCCAGACCCCATTTAACACATCAGTCGGTCACCAGGCTGTCCTCGAGGTTTTGCCCATGGTTTGATCATGAGCATGTGGAGACAGGGGGCAATTGAAGAGTGCATGTGCGACATCACCTTTGGCTTTTCTTTGGAGTGAGCTCTCTGGGGTCTGAGCTAACGTTGCAAAGCAGAAAGGCCAGGACTTGCGAGGAACTCATCCCCTCGTCCACACCCACACCCCCCCCATCCAGCCATCCACCCATCATCACCAATCCATTCATCCAGCCATCCAGCCAGCCACCAAAACGACAGATGAGAATGTGCCTCAGAGTCCATCTTGTTGGTTTCCTCTTTGTTTCCAAACGCTTGGTGCCCCAAACACGTGAGCTCGCGTGAACCCAACAAAAGCTCCCCTGTAAAGTCTGCGAGCGCTTTCAAGAGCTCTACATGCTTGGTGTTTCAACAAAATGAGTTTACATGGTCGTTGTTGGGGAGCATTTTACATTTTTGCGTATTGTGGTTTAGTGGTTGAAATCCCCACCTAACTGCTAATTATTATTATTTTTATTTGTTTGCTCCCCTTCCCACGTCAACCAAGTTTCGTCCTTTCGCCGAGGAACCTGCTGAGCACCAACGTGGCGGGCCCCGGGACCATGGCGCTCTTTCGCTATCAGTTCGCCCTGTTGGTCTGGGCCTCCACACTGCTGCTGGTGCCTCGGCGAGAGAGGCCGCGCATCGATGGGGCGATGTGGGGTCTCTGCGCCTTTTTGGAGTCGGTACTCTTTTGGGGTCATAGGGAGCCCGAAAAGGCCGCAGTCCAGTTTGGGGGAGGAGACCCCACCCCACAACCTCAGTTTAACAGGCCCGAAGACAAGTCTGGCCATGTCGAAGGATCCCCTCAAAAAGTGCGTCCGTTCCTTGGGTGTTCTGTTGGTTGCCGTTTTGTAAAGCTACATGGTTCCCCTCAAAACACATGTTAGCATGGGTGCGTGTCAAACAGAAGGAACCCCGCAAAACTGTTCGTGCCTTTAGTTTCGTTTGTCTTGCGCTGTTTGGGCCCCTGTTAAACCAGTCCTAAAAAGAATATACTTAAACGGCGTGCCGTGGCACACCCCAAATCAGCCTACTGGCGACATGTTTTCAGGCGCCAGTGTTACTCTGAAGTTGCCGGCCTGGGGCCAGCGTATCGAAATTTGCCAGACTCTGGGTGTGTCTTAATATAGGCCGACGCCCCCAAAACTGGGTTTCTCTTTGAAAGAACCCCAAAGCATACCCTCAAAAAGGACACGCCCAACCAACCTTGTTGCCCTTTTGCCCTTCGGGGTTCCCTTTTCCCTTAAACCACCAAGCAGTTGACTTTTTGCAGGAGTGTTGCCAGGTTTTCCGTATGTGCAACGCTCTGTGATCTCTGACTTCATGCCCTGAAGAGCATGGTGCTGAGTCTTAGTTTGAAGTTGATTGAACAGGAACAAGTAGCAGCCAATCCGAAATAAGAGCCCATGCTAGGTGTGATGCAGCTGTGGTCTCTTTTTTGCCCGCGTACATCCATGTGAGAGGTGTCACATGCCGTGACTCCTGCTTCGTAAGTCGGGGAGTCAGTATGTGGCTGCGAAGGTGAAAAAGTTGGTGGATATGAATCCCCATCTAAGAATTGCCCAGCAAAGATTAAGTTTTTCATAATCATCATACCCATGTATTTCATAGGGGCCTGATTCATGCGTGCAACAGGTTCAGCGACCCATTCTTCACGGAAGGGGAAGCCTTGCCCTTAAGGAGCTATGGTTATGGCAGGGCGCAAGCACTTCAACTTCCATTTCCTGAAATCGCATCTCCAGGGTCCATGTATTGCCACTGGCTTTGGACATATCTTACTCACCTCGTAAGCCACGATGCGCGAGGTGTGGTTTGGCTTCGTGGTCTTTGTGAGTTCGGATCTGTTGATCTTGGGCAACCGCGCAGCCGAGAGCCCGCAGATGCTTTGTGCCATCATCGAATGGGGCCACCACAGACAGATGGAGCTGGTTTGGACCAAGGCTTGGTTCGAACATGAATTCGCCCGTCTCTGA